GTGGGGGTTGGGTGCTCAGATTAGAGTAAAAGGAGGTACACGTTCCATAGACAGATCGTGGGCCTCTCCAAACGGGGGTGGGAGAGAGAGAGAGAGGCGACGGGACCCCGAGGCACCGCACAGTGTTGCCAGTTTTTATGGGCTCAGTGGCTTCATATGCTAATAAGTGGAAGCACCAGTCTAACTAGTTTGGGGAAGGGGCTGGGATTCCCAGGAAGCTGGCCATTTCCCACTCTTCGACCTTTTGTGGCTAGCCTTAGGACTGCCATGGTGCCTGTGGGCTTGTTATTCACCATGCTAACGTATTACAATGAGTATACAATGAAGCTCAAGATCTGCTGGAAGTCAAATCTCCCATCTTAAGCCTCAAGGCCTACTGGGGGTTGAATCTTGCACCACTTTGATGTTAATCGCCATAGCATTCCTTGAATGGCTGTGCCCTGGCCCCCTTCCTGTCTCAGAGCTGTAGGAGCAGAGGTCAGGCCTGATTTCCCACGTGTCCAAGGGGAATGCTGCTGCACAGACCAGGATTTTCTGAGCCAGCACCCACCACATGAGACCCATTGAGTATGTGTTGTGGCATGTGTGGCAGTGTCCACATAATGCAGAAGAGAATCTGTGTTAAACAGACCCATGATGATCAGGCTACAGTCAGATGCCTTGATAAGAGCTTAGCCTTGGAATCAATACCGAAGAAAGGGTAGGAGTCTCAGAAAGCTGTCTGAATCTGCTTAGTAAAGACTCTAGGAATGAAGCATGCAGCAATAGATGGGGCTCAGGGAGCAGTTATCAACTGCAGTGCAGCATGCTGGCTGGTGCTGCTCCAGGATATGACTCTGACATCAACTGGATTTTCAGAGGCCACAATGGCACGAGCCCCCAGGCAGAAGCATTTCTGGTCCGCTGTATGTTAATGATGCAGGTGCCATCACTTTTCTTTCTGAAGATACACTATTCCCTCTGAAATTCAGTTTTAGTGACATACATCACACAGGGAGGAATTCGTGGTTATTCTCCTTTTCCTACAGGATTTCAAGGGCTCTAGATATTGAACATTTTCCTGAGATCAGGACAGGAATTGGTAACAAACGCTATATGGACCACTTTCTGAAACGTGGAGAAAGGATTATGGGAATTTTTATTTTTTGTCAGTCTAATAGATAGAAAGTAGAATCTTACTATTGTAATTTGTGTGACTCGTTACTTTTTATCTGAGCATTTATTCATTTTCTTATTTGACACTGTTTTCTCATTTTTGTAATTGGCTGTTTAACTTCCCATTTTATAATTGGATTTTCTGATTTTTTGGTATGCTTTGCAGTTCTTTTCATATTCAAGATACTAAGATGTGTTGATTATAGATACTGCAAATATTTCCTAGTAGCATGCTAACTTTCCTTTAGTTATGTGATTTGAGTCCTTTACAAAACAGAAACTCTTAATTTTGATGGAGTCAAGTACTATCATTTGGTTCCCCCCTTTTTTCTGGGTCTTATATAATTATTCCTCCCTATATCAAATTCCATCTGCTAGGAATACAGGAAGAATAAGGAGGATGGGGAGACAACCCAAAGACAGCAACACTGGAAGCTGCTGCCACCACTAAGCTAAAGAGTCAAAGGGAAGAAGTATTCCTACTTGGAGCCACAAAAAAGGAAGCAAGGCCTCCTGGTGGAATCCTGGGTTAGGGTTGCCAGAGTAAATACAGGACTCCCAGTTACAGATAACATCTGTCCCTCCCAAGAGATCCTAACTGTCAGAAATAAGCTGGCTTCATTCTGTCTTCCATCCTCCAGTTTTCTGACAGTGACTTACATTGGCTGAATTCAACCAGAAGCCAGACGACAAAGTAACCTGGAAAATATAGTTCATAGAACCAAGGGAAGATCTGAGCGCAAGTGGGCTGAAAAGCTCATACGGAATCGTTTCTATTTGAAATTTTAACTAGTGTGGTCATCTGTGGCTATTCTACAGATTGGCCTGGTCAACAGGGGTGGTTTCTGCCAGTCATGTTATTCGCTACGGACAAAAGCTAAAGTCAAAGTGTAAAACTGAAAGCTGGAGTGTCTGTGGTGGGCTGCAGGAGAGGCAGAGAGGCCTGTGAATTTACCTCCGAATTACCTATATGTGGCAATGGGATTGTCTTGTGTTTTTAATTCCATATCCTGAAGGTGCTGCTAATTGCAATTAATCACAACTTCTCACAACCAAGAAATGGTGAAGTTTTTTTGTTTTAGTTGAAGTACAGTCAGTTACAATGAGTCAGTTTCTGATGTACAGCACAATGTCCCAGTCATGCATATATTCATTTTCATATTCTTTTTCATTAAATGTTAGTACAAGATATTGAACATAGTTCCGTGTGCTATACAGCAGAAACTTTTAAAAAATCTATTTTTATATAGAGAGTTTAACATTTACAAATCTCAAACTCCCAAATTTATCCCTTCCCACCCACTTTCCCCCATAACCATAAGATTGTTTGCTATGTCTGCGAGTCTGTTTCTGTTTGGTAGGTGAGTTCATTAGTGTCCTTTTTTTTTTTTTTTCAGATTCCACATGTGAATGATATCATACGGTATTTTTCTCTTTCTGGTTACTTCGCTTAAAATGACAATCTCTAGGTCCATCCATGTTGCTGCACGGGAAGTTTACAGTTTTTATTCACAGGTCAATTGAAGTTTTCATTTTTTACTTTCTAAAACTTTTTATACATTTTTAAATTTTTTGAGAAAATATTGATTATACTATTCTTCTTGCACCACCTTTTATGTCTTGTACTATTTGTTCTCGTACACCTCTTTTATTCATGATGATGATTATATATAACCCCTCTCTTTTAAACAGGCGTTGATCAAATTCATTAGCTTTTTCTGAGAACCAACTTTTTCCTTTTTTGATCTCCCTATTGCTTTATTTTCTCATGTATTATTAATGTTTTCTCTTGTTATACTTTGTTCTAATTCTGAGGTTTAACTTACTCTTATCTGTCAGTTTTCTAAAGATAGCTGCTTAACTCACTGTTTTTCAGTTTTTCCTCATTGCTTATTTGCCTAGATCTCGCTCTAAACACAGCTGTTCCTCTATGTTTCCCTTTAAAATAAATCTATCATTATCTCTCAGTGCCTCAAAGATATCTATGTTTTCTCTGGATTTAAGCTTTTTCATGTGTTATGTTTCAACATGATGTTATTTGTATTTATCTTCTTGTGTTTCACAGAGTTTCTTTAATTTTGACTTGATATCATTCATTATTTCAGAAAAATTATCATCTCCTCAAACACTGCTATACTTCATTCTCTTTCCTTCTTTTGAGATTCCAATAAAATATAGTAGACCTTATCACTTTCAGATTAATTAATTAATAAATGATAAATCTAACTTGATGAACATATGAATCACTAGGCTCGAAGTCTGAAATATAAATGGGACTATTTACTGTCTGTAAAGAATAAGCCTGAGGTATATTCTGGTTGTACTAAATTGGTTTTTCATTAGATTATACTAAAATAGGAACAGTATATCAGTTCAGGCAAACTCCTTAAGTTAGCCATCATTTACACATATATCATAATACCGAATACTCCCAATTTATTCCCTATGCTACAGAAAATAGTAAAAATATGCATTTTATATAGAGAATATGAATTCATACAATTCATCCATTATTCACATACTAGTGGTTGAAAGCCAATATATACGTAATTTTGTTGGAACAGTGAGACAACTGTATGGCCTTACAGTCAGAAAGGTGAAGAAGAACTTCATTTGGGGCCATATTACAAAGCTCAGTTCAGCACACTTGGGTATTGCCAAATAATGCACACATTTTAGATCAGATCCAGTTAAACTTTCCATTTTTGTTGCTGTCAGTCTGTTGACAAGAGAGGCTTGTCATTTTGTTTAAAAAAGT